CCCCAAAACCCCAAAACCCCAAAACCCCATGATAATAAAATAAGAGTAGAGTTTACGAATATAGAGATAAATTGAATTTAATCTGAGGAAAAAATGAGCGACACCTGAGAGGTTTGAACTCTCGCGGGAAAACTCCCATTGGCTTAGCAGGCCAACGCCTTAACCACTCGGCCAAAGTGTCTTTCACTGTTCTTTCCTCCTAGTCTCAGGACTATATAGCATTCCCTTAGCAAGTATCAAATAATTTCACAGATTTAGGCTATTGAGATTAAATTATAGATGTAAAATTATTTATAATTAACAGATTTTATATAAATTATCTAGGACTCAATCAATAAAATGAATTCTATAATGAAACCATTTCATCCTTTGCCTTTATCTAATGTAAACCCCTTGAGTCCAGACACTGACCAAATATGTGAGCAAATTTACAAGAAATTAATAGAGTCTAATGGATCTATTTAAGATAGATTTATTAAAATATGCGAAGTAGTTGATATTGATCCAAGAGATCTCTTGCTAAAGTAAATTATTGTCATAATGTGCTTAGAAAGTTAGAAGATTTCACTTAAAATGGAAAAATTGATTCTGATTTAGCAAAGGTTAGGCTAGAGCACTATAACAATAAGAGAAAAGCAAAACTTATAGTTCTCAACAATGCAATTCATAAAATGGAAAGTCAAAACAAAAGTAATTATCTTTATTTGTAACTGAGACTAATTTATGTGGTTTAATTAGGTACAAACAAGTTGAGTCTAAGTCCTAATAAAAGGGTAAACTAATCCATGACAAATGATATCGGGATGCCAAACAATAATCAAGGCTCTTTTTTTATATCTTAAACTGCTTTGGTAACACCTATGAGATAAACGGCAATAAACATTAGATAAAGTGTAAGAAGGCTTTATAATGATGTTTAACTATAAAATTTAGTTTGATGAGTAAACTCTGAGATAAAACTTAAATCCAGGTTATCATAAGCGACTTTAATCTTTGAATACCTCAATGATCATTCAAAATAATATGGCATTAGATAAAATTGATGGATCAAATACTAAAAATAACCAGTCTCTCATTATGATGAAATCGGTGACTGGTCTAAACACATCATAATCTAAAAGTCCAGATTTTCAACAAGAAATGATTAGAGATATGCAAAGAGAAAAAGAAAGACTTCATAGATTTCTCAGAAATAGAGAAAAATCAAAGAAGTAAAATGAGGAATATGAAAAGAAGATTAACGATATCATGCTTAAAAAAGAATTTAAATTGAAGAAGATTCAGGAAAGACTCAAGCGTGAAATGAAAGAGCAAAAATAAAAGCTTTAGGAAATGGATTATAAGAGAGAAATTAAGAAAAAAATGATTGAGGAATAAATGGAAATTTTATATGAAAATTCTGACTAGCAATATTACACCCATCTTGAGGAAATAAGGAAAAAAGAGGAAGAGAAATAAAAGAGGGAAAGAGACTAATGCGAATTAGAATATAGGAGGTATAATGAACATTTCTTAAAATCTCTAAATAATTATGAAACATACATGAAGGAAAAACACAAAACTGAGAAGGAAACTTCGAAAAATCTTGAAAATCTAGAGAAAAAATTAAATGATGGATATACCAGATCTGTATAGAGAAAAGACTAAATTAGACTTTCTGCATAGGAGTCCCTGTTGAAAATTGAAGAGGTATATGAGCATCAGAAGCAGCATAAAATGGAGGAGGAGAATGAGAGATATATGCAATATCTTGAAAGGAGGTAGAAATATCTTCAAAAAATTAAACTATGGGAAAAGTAAAGAGAAAAGTCTGTTGAGAGCTTGCGATATAAGCATGAGAGTAAATATGGCTAGGCCAGAAATAATTTATCTGAGGTTCAATATAATAGAGATCAGCTCTACTAGAACATCCAAGATAAACAAGAGCAACTTGAGCATAAAATATAGGAAGCTAAACACAAAAGAGAAAAAGAGATACAAATCAAATCTGAGAAGGAATTCCTAAAGGCACAGGATTAGAGAAAGAATCTTGAAAAATAGAGATAGATGATGGAGAAGGCAAAGTAAAAGATAATAGAAAAGCATCTTAAGATGAACGAAAATCTGTCTAAAGTTAAGGAGACTAAGGCTCATATGATTGAATACAATCGTATTGCTAATGAGTTAAGACTCTAAAAAGTATCTCTAAGCACTCGATGATGTGTTATTTATATTATAAAAATGAAAATATGGTAATTTAAATTCTTATAAATCCCGTTATTCATTAGTCCAAATATAGCAGGGGTTTTGGGGTTTTGGGGTTTTGGGGTTTTGGGG